TCATACTTACAAAAACTGCCTCCATAGATTAACTCTTATATTTTAACAAGTAACTCATACTTACAAAAACTGCCTCCATAGATTAACTCTTATATTTTAACAAGTAACTCATACTTACAAAAACTGCCTCCATAGATTAACTCTTATATTTTAACAAGTAACTCATACTTACAAAAACTGCTTCCATAGATTAACTCTTATATTTTAACAAGTAAATCATACTTACAACAATTTCTTAAATACTAGAATATTTTGATTTGTACAGCACAAACTTTTATTTATACAGTATTTCTCAATTGTTTATACATATATCTGTATATTGGATTTTTGAACACTTCCTACAATTTTGGATAAAACCTGAAATTCTGCATGTAGGCTGTATGTTGACTCCAACAGAATACCAATAATGTTTTTTTAGTTTTTGAGGGCTTCAAAAATGGGGGATCAAATGATTTTTGGAGACCTTGGGTATTGCTGTACTGATCTACTTGAAAATTGGAATTATTAGGTTTAAAAGAGCTATTCAAAATAATATTACCATTTCAGATTTAGGAAATTTTCAAAGTGAAGTCCCCATATAGGGGTCAGAAAGGGTTCTGTGTGCTCTCTGGTCTGGATCTACAGATTTGCAAGAAAAGCAATGTGGAGATATGAATTCAGATTTTTTTTTGATTTTCAAAAAGTCCCCAAATGGGAGATCAAAGAGCTTTCAAGCTTGGCTACATAGATATATGTGAAAATTGGAAGCAACACTTAAAAATGTTGTTCATAACAAGGTATAAAAATCTGTTTCTATAGTTATTGTTCCCCATGTATTTCTATAGGTAATTTCTAGCTTGCATATACAGGGTGATTAAAAAAAAATATTTGCACTTATATGGGATTTTCTGTTACTTTGCCCATATTGTTCATGACTATCTGGACAGAATTTTTTCCCAGGAGATGTATTGGAAGAGGTGGTCCTCTGAGGTGGCTTGCCCATTCACCAGATTTAACACAGTGTGATCTTTGGCTGTGGGATATGGTTAAAGAACGTGTGTATGTACGTGATCTCCGGGAAAGGATTACAGAAGTCATACAATCAATACCACCTGGGATGAACTCTAGAGCTCTGGATGCAACGTTTGACCGCTTTCAGATATGCATAGATATTTGTGGAGAGCAAGGTAAGACTGTATGAAACATAGGAAAAAAAATATAAACCCATAGAAGTGTTAACATTTTTTTTAATCACTCTGTATTTTGTAATAAACATTAACTTAATATGATATAATACAAACTATATGTTTCATATGTTTGGTATTTTGAAAGTAATTACTAATAATTACCTATGCATTGTACGTAGATACACAAATTTTCACAGCATACCAGGGCTTGACACTAGCAACAGCCTGAGAGAAGTAAGAAATACTTTTAGAATGGTTGCTAACATGACACACTAATTTGATGGGACTATTTGCTTGTTATGGATTTTGCGCAAAGCTACATGAGGGCTATCTGCACTAGCTGTCCCTAATTTAGCAATGTAAAACTAGAGGGAAGGCAGCTAGTCATCACCACCGCCAACTCTTGGGCTACTCTTTTACCAATGAATAGTAGGATTGTCCATCACATTATAATGCTTCCATGGCTGAAACAGTGAGCATGTTTGGTGTGACGGGGATTTGAACCTTTGACCCACAGATTGTGAGTCGAGCACCCTAACCACCTGGCCATTGATGGGACTGACAGCTTAATACTGAGTATCTGTTTATTCTTACCTTTCTAATACACTCACACTTTTGATTTATTGTTTTATTCAATGTAAAATGGTGATATTGATTTCTCAAACTTAGCATGCTCAAGCTGTATTTCTAAAAGCAGAAAAGGAAGTATTTAACAGCTGTTTGGAAAATTATTTTCTTTCTCTGCAGATTTACATCTGTACCCTGCTCGGTCTTTGGATATATGTACATTATACTTATAATACAGTATATAATCTCCATACAATGTTTTGAATGTCTTTTACTCACACAGTATTTCTATATTTATACAGAAATTATACTAATTATACTAATTTATTCTTGTAAATTATTTGGCCAGAAAAGCTGTTTAAAATACTAAAAAATAAATGTGAAGTCCAGTCTATCACTTGACTTACCAATTGTTTATTTTCTAGTATTTAATCTATTAATTATTTATTAAATAGATTCCTTATCTTTATTGATTATTTACAATATTGTGATTTTGAATATTTTAATGGTTATATAGGTATATTTGTAGCTGACAAGTCTTGAAAAAAATAGTGGCTTACGAAGTTACATACACATATCGTTTTTACATGTCAGGCCAATATTTTGAAAGACAATGCTTCAACACATTTGGTTACACAATACTTCATGCAACCTTGTTATGAGTAATGGAACTAGCACGTGTTGGTAGATTTATTTCATTGGTCTCCAGGATACATGCTTATCTGTAGACATGAATAGCCTGTTTCTTAACAAATATTTTAAAATTTGAAACAAACTGGTACCTAAGAAATACTTTATTCATAACTAGAGTATTGTTAACTAAAAGCTTCAATCTCTTACACAAGCTCTGACTTTGGTTTATTGTTATTTGAAACATGTAGGGTTCTCACTGGCTTAAGAGTAAATGTCTGGACAAACATTTATCAAACAGTATATATAACAAGACTTATAAAGAGCTTGGATATCCATACAATATATTACTATTCACTCAATGCATGAGAGAATGTGAAGAAATATCACTATATATTTCTTATGAGTTATTACAAGTCCTATAAATCAAAATGACTGACTAATGCCATAACCCACAGTGACAGAATTTTAAGTTGGAAGTTGCCACTACCTAGAACTACAAGTAAAATTGAATTTAGCAGTATTCACAATAACAATACTTTGAATCTACTATAAAATCTTGTAACATAAAAATAACAGGTAAGTCACTCCAGATTTAAATAATCAATGCACACAATTTTTCTATAATGTAAATAGGATGTTTAATGTTAATTATCACCTTCTGGTATTTTTCAAGATAATGTTGGCCAACTGGATTTTGTATGGCTTCATATAAAAGCAGCATTTTTGGCAAGGTACAGTCTTAACTTATTCTTTCACTACTGCTGCCTTAAAATAATCATTTAACAGGCACCCATACCACTCAACCAGTCAAATAAAGGAAAAAGTATTGAGAGTGCCAACTTGCAAAGGATTTGAAATTATTTAAAAAATAATAAAATTGGGGAAACTCAAGTGCAGATAGCAGTTGCACTTAACTGATACAATGCAACATGAATTTTTGTTTGTAGTTAGTTAAGCACAAAGCTACACAAAAGACAATTAGTGCTCTGCCCACCATGGGTATTGTGACCCGGTTTCTAGCGTGTAAATCCGCAGACGTACCGCTGTGCCACTGGGGAGGGGGGGCATGAAATTTTAAATTATTTTAATATATCATGCAAATTACCATTTATGCATACCTCGGAAATTAACATTTACC